TTTCCTCAGATAAAATAGCCGCAAACTCGCTTCGCCATGTGTCAGTGCATTAACCCAAGCCAGACCCAGCCCTCAAATGCCGCAGCTGTGTGGGCGGCTCATGATGACCCGACCGCGCTCATGGTGACCGGACTGCGCTCGTGGCGGCGCCGGCGCGGCGCCCGGGCTGTCGGACCCGATCGTGACCGGGCCGTCGTCCGTTGGCAGGTCACAGTCTGTCGCAGGCGGCCCGCACCTACGACATCCCGTACCCGACGTTCGTCCTGTACGCCAACCGGGTGCACAATCTGCTCGGCCCGTCGCAGGAGGGGCCCGGAGGCATCCCGAACGGTGAGCATCCCCGTCCCATCGGCTGCCGCTTCGTCCCGGGGCTTCGTCCACAGGCAGGTCCATCCCGAACGGTGAGTATCCCCGCCCCATCGGCGGCCGCTTCGTCCCGGGGCTCCGTCCACAGGCAGGCCCATCCCGAACGGCGAGCATCCCCGCCCCATCGGCCGCCGCTTCGTCCCGGGGCTTCGTCCATAGGCAGGCCCGTGGCGCTGGCCTCTCCCGTGTGTGCTTTTCTGCACGAAGGCCTTCGTGCCCGCCCTCTTCCCCACCCCCTCCCCACCTCGGCCCGTTACTCATGCTTTTCGTTCGTATTGCCTTATCCAGACGTCTCTCATGTTTTTGCCGCACTCGCCTCTCATTCTTCCGCTGCTTTTTCCTGTCGTTATTTTTAATAGCGGTACGGATGGCCTGGTCTTGCAATGACTTCCAAATCGGACCCAGTCGCTTGGAAAAGAGTTTCACGTGGTATGGTGCCCTGAGTGGGCAGCTTCACATGGGATGGTGCACTGAATGGGCAGCTTCACATGGGATGGTGTACTGAGTGAGCAGCTTCACATGGGATGGTGACCGAATGGGCAGCTTCACATGGGATGGTGCACCGAGTGAGCAGTTTCACGTGGGATGGTGCGCTGAGCTGGCAGCCTGACATGCGGTGGTGCACTGAATGAGCAGTTTCAAATGGGATGGTGCGCTGAGTTGGCAGCTTTACATGGGATGGTCCACCGAGTGAGCAGTTTCACATGGGATGGTGCTCTGAGCGAGAAACGATAGGGTTGTGCACGGCCCGGCCGGGAGAGATAGATGATAAATTGCAAGCTTACGTGTACGTCCATGTGAAAGTAGGGAAGGCTTGTGCTGAGGTAGGGGGCAGTGACAGACAACACTGAGGGGCAGAGCGGGGAGGACGGCGATGAGAAAGCAAGAGGGAGGTCGCTGGTGAGAGCTAGTCTGATCACGATGGCAATCGCAGCCTGGATCTAAATGGAGCTGGGATCAAGATCGAAATGACAAAGGATGTGGAGATGGGCGGACGCAGCACCCCAAGCTGAAGAGACAAACAGGCCAGAGCGTCGAGCGCGGCCATTTTGCGCACGATCGGCAGAAGTGACCCCTGAGCCAGAGACGGGCGGAGCCGGCCCCAGGGTCCAGCAGCGTCTGTCGGTGGCGTAGGAGGAGGAACGGGCACCACCGAGTCGGCGTGAACGCGGAGCTGACAGGTGTCGCTGCCCGCCGTTCGCGCTGAGGTGTTACGGTCGTGCCGTGGTGGCGTGAGCTCCGGCAGTGTACCGATAGCGTAGTGGTTAACTCGTCTGGGAAACCAGCGGCACGTGGTTCGACACCCCGCGGTGCCCGCCCTTCCTGCCAGGGTGAGAGGCAGACGCCGCCATACAGCCTCAGCAGCTGAGAGCGTCGAAAAGGGCCAGTGACATTTACGTGAGCTCGCCGTGTGTGACTGCCGGCATTAATCCCAGAAACGGGGGAACCCGCTTCGACCAAAGACAGTAATGGTGGATCCTCTAAGGGGATTGGTCTGCAAACGCGTTCTCCCCCCCCCCCCCCCTTCCCTTCCTTTCTTTATTTCCATGCAGCGTCATAAGTGTTTGCAAATTTATTTTCAGGGACGGGGGCCCACCCTTTTCCGCCGTCCCTGGCTGTGCGGCGCTATGCCCATGATAGCGGGGTGCGTCTACTGGTACCGGGCGGCGCACGTGCCCACACGTGACCCCGTCAGAGGCCGACGGCAGAGCGTCTGCCGCGGACGGCCCGCACGCGGACTCGTCCGTTTCTAATACGGGAAGTGACGGCCGGCTCGTTAGCGCACTGCCAGATTAGAAGCAGGGCAGCGCCGCTCGCCTTCTTAGGCGCCCTCTAATCCACCGCGGTATTTCCAGCGGCTGGGATAGAGCCCGAGGTCATGCTATCTTTACCTTCCGGTGGGTGGGTGCGTAGCTGGAAAGCAGCAGACCGTACCCGGCGACCCCCAGGCTGATGCAACGCGCTGCCCGCGCACCAAACCGGTCGGCCGCCGGCGCTGGACGCCGTACTCGTGCGGCGACACAGGGGCCTGCGGTACCACCTCGACTGTCTAAATATGGGCCACTTGCAGTGGCGCTGAATCCTCCCATGGTGACAACCGGGGAGGGGGGGGGGGGGGTATTATTGTATTTCGATTTTCCCATGCAAAGTTACAATGTTAATGCGAAATTTTGTGGTAGGTGGCGTTGGCTGCTGCCGTGCCGTCCCCTCCCCCCTCAGTCGACCTTGAGGTGTTCCAAGAATACTTGCAAGGCATGTTGATCTTTTGCGTTTTGATTTGTTTTATTAGTTAGGCGCCCGTCATCGTGTAAGCTGTCGACTTACTGGCACCACGAATTTAACTTTGCCTGATTCGTGGTAAGCCCCGCATTTTTCACCGGGCGCCGCTAGCCGCGGTATATTTCGTTCCATGTCAATGTGTGACGGCTACGCTGCTTTGCTGAACTGGCAGTTTTGGTGCAGCCGGGTATAATGTTTCCCTATGTGTTGTGTGGCCAGTTCTGCCGTGTGAGCAGAGCTCCTCTGTATTCCTTCTCTGTGTAGAGTGGCCTTTCGCCACCGTGGTCGGTGTGCTGGCCCGCTGTGCGCGCACAGCTACATTTCACGCGTCCTCTGTGTGACAGTCTTATAAAGTGGTTTCGACTACAGTGACATACTCGTACTTTGCGCAGCTGTGTGCTACATCTGCTCTGTCATTGAACCTTCTCTGAGGGAGTCTCCTCTGACCCCCGCTGCCGTGCTCTTTGCCTGCTGTGTGGACGGGCCTTCGACACCCCTGCACTGTGCGGTAGACCTGCTGTGCGGGTGGAGCCGCCCTGACCCTGCGCTGTGCGGCAGACCTGCGGCCCAAGGGTCGCGGCCGACCGCAGCGCATCCTGCTGGGCACCTGGCCGGAGGAGACGGTGAACAACGTGATCCGCGCTGTCGTCTTCCGGGACACATCCGGCCTCAAGGAGCAGATGGAGAACAAGGCGGCAGCGGCGGCCGCCGCCGCCGCCGTCGCCGCTGGACACAGTCTGTCGGTGAGCAGGGCCGGGAGAGCCCGGGCACCCACGCGGCCGCGTCACCTGACGTCTCACGTCAGCTCGGCGACGGCTCAGGTTGACAGGGGAACCCCGCTGCGAACGGCCTGCTGAAGGCGAATGCGGAGGGACCAGTGATGGGTGGATGTGGCGGCGATCCCAGCCGAGGATGGCGACGAGATGTAGGTCGGGCACCTTTGTGTGTGTGTGTGTGTGTGTGGTGTGTGTGTGTGTGTGTGTGTGTGTGTGTGTGTGTGTGTGTGTGTGTGTGTGTGTGTAGGTGCGTGCGTGCGTGCGTGCGTGCGTGCGTGGCGTGCGTGCGTGCGTGCGTGCGTGCGTGCGTGCGTGCGTGCGAGAGAGGAGAGAGAGAGAGAGAGAGAGAGAGAGAGGGAGAGAGAGAGAGAGAGAGAGAGAGAGAGAGAGAGAGAGAGAGAGAGAGAGAGAGAGAGAGAGAGAGAGAGAGAGAGAGAGAGAGAGAGAGAGAGAGATTCGAATTGAGACCTCGACCTTGCGGTTTTGAAACGAAGTCAGCGTTGATTTCTAGCGGCGGACAAGACTTTAAGTGACCACTTCTGTGTTCATGCTGGAGGATCTGTTTACAGCGTTCATGGTGACATGAACGTTTTATTCACCAGTTATGCGATTACGATTACGATTAATATGAACAATTCATACGATTAATATGTTACAATTAATATGAACGTCATATTCCCCAGTAATAGCCGGCCGGTGGTAGACATCTTCGTCCGGTCCTGGAACGTATCTGATCATGGTCGGGAGCATTTATTTCCGCTTTCATCAGTCGGATTCGTGTTAGACGTGCGGTTTCAGGTTTCATTCGCACCTGGTTTAGCTGCTGTCAAAACTGGAAAGTAGAACTCCGTTTGCAACACCGCGGGTTTAAAGCGTCGCCGTTAAGTTTTTACGTCTGGCGGACTCTCGCCGAGCTTTCACCTGCGTCGGGCCGCACCCCGGAGCCAGCTGATGCCGTGGCGGAAGCCGAGTACCCTGTCGGAGCTGGTATCAGCGCCGAACGGAAGTGGGTCGACGACGTCTCGGATTTCGAGCTCATTTTCTCCAGCTGGTCATTCAGTGCCCAAAGGAAAGCAGAGGGGCTCCAGTGGGCTGACGCATTTGGTGTTTCCTGATTGATCGCATTCCAGGAACCGGGTTCCTCCCCCGTGGCCGGGTTTGGGGAGGGGTCTTGCGGTCCCGGTGCCGGTCCCGGTGCCGGTGCCGGTGCCGGCGCGAGCGGCAGGCACGCCCGGTCGAGCACGCCTAACCGGCGGAAACTCGGCGCGTTATGTAACCAGCCAGCACCGCCCGGGTCGCCAGAGGTCGCGGCTGTCACCAGACACGTCGCCCTGTAACCGATCAGCGTGTGCGGACTGCGAGCGAACGGCCCATCGTTGGGGTGACAGCAGTTCTTGCCAGCTGGAACTGCTGGGTTCGGGTCATCGTGAAAAGAGTGGGATTGCCGATGACGTTACTCCATTCGATTCAAAGGTAGTATTGCCCAAAACACCGTAATAAATCGTATTACATGTATTATTTCATTCTCGTTGCCCTAGCAGTTTTTAAGTCAAAATCTGATTTTCTAATGTGGTTTTCATTCTGTGTGAATATAACACGTGCAGCTTAGTCTCAAGACATTGCTTAAACGCAAGTTTGAAAGAGAATGCGACTGTTAAATGGCTGTCTGATTTTTCTTCTCGAGCGAGAAGAAAAGTCCTACTCCAACAAACAAGCTTGTAATCACCACACACCCCTATCACCTCATACGTCGCCTCTTATGTGTGTTGTCTTCGGCGCGACGTTGTGGACTAAAATACTGATGGGATCGAAATAACGCTGCGTAGTGGTTGCCTTCCTTAAAACCCCTTTCATATGTGTCGCAAAGGAACGAAACGTTGGTATGTCCTGCTTCTGACCGAAAGGATTTCAATCGTTTATTTACGGGCCTTTTCTTGTACGCTCTTCTAAGCCATGCGCCTTATACGTGGTGGCTTCCCGTCGTCAACCGCGATCCTGCTTGTAATACGAATGTTTATCTCTTTAGTCTGTAAATCCCGGTCTGATGATGTGGTTTGA